GTTGTATTTACGAAATACAACGCGCGTGCCACGTAATTGCGAAGACTTAAAATTACTGTGAGTTTAAAATATTGAAATGTGTTTGATTTGATAAATTATATTTTTGTTCATATTATATTCTTTAACATTACAGAAGATTAAAAAGATCCGACAAAAAATAATTTCTTCAAATACTGCATTCGTTCCACGCGATCGTATAAATTTTTCCATAAAGCTCACAGTATAAAATAAAATATTTTCCAGAACTGAACACAATATTGCAAAATGAATCTGAAAATAGAAAACAGAAAGAGAAAAGAGAAAACTTACGATCTGGCTCTTGCCTTTCTCTTGACCGAGAATGAAAGTCACGTGGCGCTGCGACTTCACGCGCGGATCAACTCATTCATCTCCCCCGAGAACATTGCACTCTAGTCTGCGGATCGTAATTCACGGTGCAAAGCACTTTCGCAGAAACTTCGTCTCGCCCGTCAGCGTCTTCGGGAATACCCCGTAGCGCAATCTCCGTTGGAAACCTCGATTCCGTTTATCGTCTTGCGTGTCGTAATAAGTCAAGTTTGTGAGAACGCCGGTGACAAGGATAAGCGACAATTGATTTCTCCCGTCACGATGACTAAGCCGAATTAGCGAAATGATGCCGACACTGGTCACAATATTACAAAAGCCTAGGGATCGATTATAACTGTTCACAAGGCAGAATCTGCGCGGGAATGCTTCCCGACTTTCAACAAACCGACAGCCTTGGTTTGTGTGTTTCCATAAGGTAATATAGCGCCTTTTGAATAATCGATCAAGTTGGAAGCGACGTCACCTTCAGCAACTGTCATCAGATCTATATATTGTTTAATGCTATATTGTACTAAAACTTACAAGCGAAGAGAAAAACTTCAATATTGTACGCGAGCGAAATATTTAATTTACGTACTGATCGATTTACACGCTATATTAAAACATTATGCATAAAAATAAATATTAAACGTTTATAGAAATAAATATTGATGTTAAAATATTCTATATATGCAGTTTCGTAATTTTTAAAAAATAAAATTCTAATGTTAGTCAGATACCCTGCACGTGCAAATTCTTTCGCAGTACATGCGGTTAATCCAATTAAAAATCTGTGTAACAACTACCCTATAAATGTAAGCTCAATCGATCTTCGTTTCGATGCTTTTCATTTCTTTGGAATTTACTCTGGATTTACAAGTAATTTTACACATCTGCATACCGATAATCCACTTTACGCAATGCTGTTATGAATGTTATGCGACTGTTGCATTTGCAAATTGTTTCGTAAAATGTAGCCACTATCACTGCTTTCGCTGCTTTTTTTCTCGCGCAGCGGTATTTTTATTATAACAGTTTATTATAATTATCTATGTTATGAGCGACCGTTATCGTTAGGCGATGACATTTCTCTATCGGGAAACCGATAATTTTGATACACGCAGCATCGATGAAAAACGTACATACACATAAGCGCGCGAACACAAGCCTCGTGACGGACTTTCATCGACTGACACGCACGAATAAATATTATATACTCGCCTTACGAGTTACGCCAACTCTACTGAATCGGACATCAGTCGAGGCTCGCTCTTATAGGCCGCTCACTTTGATTAGGCCCCTTTTTCGACGACGACTATTGGCATCCATAGCCAAGGCATCATGAGAGCCTTGGCTTGCTGATCTCTGCGAAAAAATGTCCCGGGACTCTCTTTCCTCAATGGAGGCAATAAGTGGAAGTCGGTTCGAGCGGAAACGACGATAAATTGGAGCACAATGCGTGTTCGAAAATAGAGCAGCTACTTCGACGTAAGTTCGATTATTTTTATGAGAGATGACTGAACTGTTATTGATATAACTTTTAAAAAAACTCCAATTTGGCATAAGAGAAAGATTTAATATTTCACGTTTTTGTAATTTATTTATTAATATTTTTTAATTATTGAATCTGAATTCTTGAATATTTTTTTAATTTTCACTTTTTATCTTTTTATTTGTTCTTTGTTCTTATAACATAAATATATACAATTTTTAAATTTTTGCTAAGTTGTAAAAATCATTAATTTTTATATTTGAATAACAATAAAAAATAATAAAAAATTATATATTTATTATATATAATTGATGCTTTCGCTAAAATCAATCAATATATCGGTCAAACTTTATGATTATAAAAGCGTTATCATGAATACTTCACACAATATCAACCATACGGACTTAAAAAACGTGGAAACTTGATAATACGGGACGATAACATTTTTTTATTTTGATATAGAAATATAGAAATTATTTTAATAAGATTTTACTGTCTATTTTCAGAGTGATTTCTCTAAAAATATTGTTCTCGTAATTGATACACGAATACAATTAATATATAATTAAGACGTGCGTTAAAAGTTACAGAAATATTTCTCACAATGATAAATTATGTTATAATTCTGAGAAATAATCGAGATTGATGAAAATGTTTACGAGCATTTCTCACAATTAACGCTCGACGCTGCTTTAACAAGCTTTCAGCTCCGAGATCGATTATCTGAATTAATTCATGTTAAATTAGTGACTGCTTATCTTTTTGTGGATTATCGTGTCTCTGTGCGGGAAAAGAAAGATTAATTAAAGTCGGTTTAATTAATCTTGTACAATGTTATGAAAGGTTTGCCAAGATCTCGGAACCATGCGATGTCGACTAGGTGCAAGATACTGTATATTTCCCACATCTATGCCGGATATACAAGGATGTGGTTCTATGGATACCCCGTAATTATCAGCTGCCGGCTATTTGGGAATTAATCGGGTCACCTGTATTGCTGGCAGTGACAATCAACACTAATTACAACCGCTAGCGGTGGAATTATTTGAGAAATTACTCGAGTAAACGTTGTCTATTACAAACGAAATTTTGTGCTGAAACGAGCACTGGCTACTAATTATCAAATGTATTAAATCAACAACTTTTCAAAAGACTTCATCCTTTTAGAGAATTATCTGAACTTGGAGAGACTTTAATTTTAATGGAAAGTTCGTTACGGAAAGTTTTGCAGAACAGGATAAGATGGAGAAGAGTAAAATTCTATCTATCATATATATTTCTAGCAGTTTACGCGATCGATAGAACTTATATCTAAAGTAAGAAGCAAGAAAATTGCCTTGAGCGATGCATTGTGTCAATGAATACGGCTAATTAAGCGTTCTTGTTTGACTCGTGTTCCAGTCTATTGTGATTTAAAGGATTCGGTAAATAATCCAATCAAGTTAATTAACCATGTTAATTATGTCGATGTAATAATTATAATTAATTGTGCATTATAATTTTTTATAAAATTAAGATTGAAAAAGATAAATCGATTTAACATAAGTATTTTGCTTATAATTGTGTGGAATTGTAAGTACTTTGTAAAATTTTAAATCTACAACAGATTACTAATTGCACGAACTGTTACACTCTGTTTACGTTTATTATATGGAAAGAGATGCCGAATTCCAGTTAACCGATCGTTTAATATGGGCAACGTTACTGCCTAATAACCGTGATGCTAATTATTCTTTTCTTCGCACAACGCTATTATATATAATTATGTAAATTTTATATATACGAGTGGCGTATGTTTAAAACGTTTAAAATATGTTTTGCTTCGGTCATTTGTTGTGTCATAAAATGTTAATGTTATATAATATCACTACATAACATTATATTATAATAATAATGTTTTATGATACAATGTAAAACGATTTCGCATTTATAATTCGATATTTGCAATTCCGATAGACACTCGATAAACGAAGTCACAACGTCGACAACTTTCAAGCGGACATTACCTTTCAATTGCAAACGCACAGAGAGCCACAGGGCGCGACGCTCATTCAAACAAAGTGTCTTTATCGGCCATCAAGAATTAGCCAACGCGATGCCGAACGTTTGTCCATTAATGTCTCCTAACCTTGACCCGATATTCAGATAACTCGTCGACAAGGCTAACGACTCAACCTGGCGGATTAGATTGAGACTGCCTCGATATATACATACGTATGTGACCGCGTCGTTTGTATACATGCACAGTCGTTGATTCGCGGAGTGCCCACCGAGAGAGCTCTTCCTAGATTTATGCTCCACAAAGTGGTCCAGGGTCGCGTTTACATGCCGTGCACTGATACAGACGAAAATGAAGCCGCGATAACAATTACGATTTCATTGCGACTCCCTCAAATGCGAATCATGATCAAACGCGCGTTTAATTCTTAATCATCATCATCATCATCGCTGTTTCACTTATCAAGTTGACCTATTGTAATCATGCCATACATATATATCTAGCTGAAAAGATATAAATATGAAATCAATATCTTTAATTTTAATTAATTTATAAATTCAAAATATAAACTAATTTATAAATTTGATTCTTTTTTTATCAATAACTCTGTATTTTTTTTTTTTTTCGTTTTTTTTTGCAGGCGTAATATTAAAAAATCTCACGTGAATCGACATGTCGCTCATTCATAGATTTCTAGGGACTGACATGTGTCAGCTTTCTATAGATATTTACAAACGGCGTTTTTCAGAACGAGGTGATCATTATTCGTAACTGTTGAAGCTTAAGAGCTTAGATTAGATAGCAGGAAGCAACGTACAATTCGGCGGATCCTGCTCGTATATCTCTTACGACCGAACTAGCGCAAGGTCGGCAGCGGTTTCTCGTCAGAACCATCTTGCCAAGAGAAATCACTGCTTCTTGCAGTCCATTTCTTTCTCTAATCCGTCCTTTTACTTTGACTCGCTCGTGACATATTCCATTTTGAAACTTTCAAACTTTAATTTATGCTCGTTTATATCAAACAAAATTCTAAATTCACGCAAGGATTAATATTTTGTTAAAGATATAACGATAAAATCTTATTTAAAAATAAGATTTTAAATAAAATTGTATTACTTATCAATACATTACATCCAGATTATTTATTTATTTAAATTTCGTAATTTAATTTGGGAAATATTCTCGTTTTAAAATTAAATAATTACGCTATCTTATAATAAAAATAAATAAATCATTTACGAATTAAAAAGAAAAAAAATTCTATTCTCTCTCCCCCTCTCTCTCTCTTTCTCTGTCTCTCAGTATCTCTTATTGCTGATCTTGCATGGAAATATAAAATTATCTTTCCACCAGTACTTTTAACATTGGATTCCTCAGAGTCTAAACAACCTCAGATGGCTGATCAACAACTAGCATTTATTATTAAGTATGACATGCATTTTCCTCTTCCAGTTATATCACATGAGCGCAACATCCGTGAAGAACTTGTTACGGCAACGAAAAAAATATGTTTACAGATTATTAGATTTCCGCTGTCGTAGTTATATTTATAAATATATCACAGGCCAAATGTAGAATTTAACGACGTATGGTCGTATATTTTAGAGTATTAAAAATAAAGCTTATCGAAGGAAATCCGTAGATGAAAGAAATATATACATATATTTATACTTTCCTATATATCTAAAACAGAGCAATCTATATATGATTGCGGGCAAACTGCTGTGAAATTAATCCTGTATTTGTCTCCTCTAAACTTTCACAATTTCTCTCTTTCTATCTTTTCTACTGCCCGTTTTCTACGTACCGATTGCGTATTCGCAAGCGAGATATTATATTCGCGTTTGTCATACATTTGCATAAACTATGAATAAATGCATGCGCATTAGTATCTTGCCGTAAAGATATAGCTATGAGCTCTCATACTCGTACAGGATTTAATTAGAAAAATAACAGACATATTACTCCGTATTGTATGAAAAATACACATAAAAATGTTAAATCGCTAAACTAACTTTCCACAACTTTAAATATACAAATAATAAAATTAAAATAACGTCTACTTTATTAGATAATTACAGAGATAATATTACATCACGAGTATATAAATATACTTACGTAATTTCTGTACATACACTTAACATATTACACTAATACACATAAACATAGCAATAATTTTGCATTACATATATATAATAATAATAATAATAATAATAACTATGTAGATCAGATATTATCTATTCATATATTTTCAGTACAAGATATTCTGTTAAGGTGCAGCTTGATGGAACACACGGGACAATGCGCGACATCTTTCCTTGATTACAACAAGCATCGTAACGCAAGAGTGATAATATGTAAATCCACGTTACTATATCACACCACGTTCCGCATCGCAATCCAACTGCCGCTTCCGTTCGCTCCTCCACGTGCCGCCGCGTCGTTTTGTTTCCAGGACGTACGATGGCATGGAGCCAATGGTTGGCCCGCAATCATACCGTCCGCAGAATATCAAATCATCCGGGAATCTTCCCGCATCGAAGCTCGCAGTGTGTAAATCATGATAAAGCGAGTTACACGCGCATCCGGGGAATTTCGATATCCAGTCGTTCGTTGACCCGAACGCGACAGAAAGATTATTATCTGGTATTATACGTTCCGCAAGCTGTATGTCCCATAAACCACGTCCCCAAAGCGGAAAAAAAAGCCGTCATAAACAGCACGTCGCCATAAATCTATAACGCCACTGTCAGCCGTTTGTTCGCGCGAATCGCCCATAAAGTGTCAGTACAGTCCCGACAGATAAGGTGCATCCCTATCAGAACGACCTTGGGACGATAAAACATGTAATGTTCGATTCCACGAGCGAGCGAGATCGACCACGCGAGGAGGCATCGTCATCCATCACTACGACTGACAATGCGTAAGAAATATCCAAAGTCGGGGGGGGGGGCGACGCGAGAGATTCAACCGAGGGGACGAATCCGCTGATAAATGAAGCTGGCGTTCGCGGAGCGGGCAACCCCCATCGTTCTCGAGGAAGGGATTTCGGTTCGGATACACTTGGCAACGTCATCGTCATGTCTATGGGAGATCCGCACCGTCCGTATTCGGCGGGAGAGGCGACAGCTGCAAGCGGTCTTAAGCACTTAGCGAACAATAGCGTAGGGTCGAGGACGACGGGGAGGACGGAGCACGTGGCGGAGCGAGAGCTGAAAACGCGACTCGCGGGGACACGAGGATCGGAAGGTGGACGAGACGGCGGGAGGTAATCAAGAGCAGGTACGTACTGTAACCTGTTCTAAATTCTGACGAGAAATACGATCCGAGATGAAGCATCTGTCGGGGTTCTTACGTGCCTCGGCTTGGAAATAGGAGCAGGAGCGCGCGAGCTTGTTTCCTCCGCTCGCGTCATAGAGACCAAAATGGTCTTTGGACGACAAAAAAAGAGATGCGACGCGAAAGTGCAAGAGAGCGGATGGAGAGAGAGTAAACACTCTCTTCCTGGATGTACTTAGCGATGGGCGGCACTTCGGCGAAAGCGGAGCAGCGGGAGGGAGAACTTGACGCGTTCATCCCGAGAGAGTCCTCGAAGATGAAAAATCATGCTCGAGCAATGACGTAATATCCTACGATTGACGACCGGGGTCATTCCTAAAACTACAAAAGTCGATTAGAACCTTAATCGAAAGTGATCTTGAGTCCGAGAGACGGCCGGAATTATTTTACGACACGAGAGAGGAAATGGTCATCCGACTCATATTCCATCCGATGTCCCTCGTAAAAACATATAGATGCCACGCAACAAAAGAAATAATCCTGAAATTGAAATTGACTAACGGATAAACCGAGTTATACGATAGCGTACGTCCAAGCCGAGTAAGATCGCGCCTTGGTCAGGTTCGAAGCTCTAATCCGCAAATAGAATCTCTAAATACAGTCTTCAAAAGAGGAGTAGAAGCCGCTGGAAATTCGATTGCCACTCGAGCCGCAGATTACGTCGCATCTGCGTATATTCGCTCGCACAGCGCATTGCGCACGCAAATGGAACGGCATACGCGATAACGCATAACTGCATCAATGGAGTATAAATTCTTAGTCGACTTAGAAATGATTTGAACGACTGAGAGATTCATGCGCCGCTTTATTCATTCTCCCGGTTAAAGTTACTGAATATATATATATTCAGTAACTTTAACCTATATATTCAGTAACTTAACCTTATATATATATATATATATGCCTGAACGAACTTACGTCAATGAAGTTCACTGAGGGGACTTTCGCGAATTCTTATCAAGTCTTTCCTGATTGAGTATTTCGAGAGTTAGCCAGCAGGGGCATATCAATTGGCTTAGTCAAAGGGACATCTTAGCGGAGCTTTGGCGGTCTATGTAAATGCGAATAATCTACTGGAAGGTACCGAAGCCTTCAAATGTAATTGAATTGAGATTTGTACGTCTTAAATGTACGAGGGAGAGAAAGAGGATGATTTTTTTAAATGTAAAAAAGAAGTACGTTATAAATGAATAAAACAAAGGGATAAAAGTAGTGAACCCGGTATAATCTTTTAAACGCAATTGATTATACTATGCTCTTAGCGGTCTCTTTTTTTAACCTTTTGTTATTTTTTATTT